TTTTAAAATAATCTCAGCTATATACATATGTAAACTATTTTTCTTGGCTTTTTACCAAAAGGCCTTTGCTTTATTCATTCCACAAATCGATACGGCATGCCCACTGTGTGCCGGCTCCCGCCCCGACCCATGGGTGCGTTGGTCCGCCCCTCAGCCCTTCACAGAGCTCAGACACGAGCCCCTCCGTCCGTCTGCCTGTTCCGTCACTAGGCCAAGGGACAGGCCAAGGGGCCAGAGGCACAAGTCATGCTCTCTGTGCTGTATGTCAAACGTCATTTCATTCCATTCTCCATCACAAAGTGGCTGGGACTCACCAACAGGAGACTTGGGTCCCATCTCGGTCTCTACAACACACAGCCTTGGTGACCTTGGAAAAGCCACCCAAGGACTCACATTCTCTGCAGGTGCCTTATTGCTCACATTGGAGAGAGAAAGGATACAGGGCTATGCCCAGGATTTATATGTGAATATAAACGAGAATGCCTACCGCCATCTCTCACATGTGGTTGATACTCACGAAAGGATACTTGAGTCTGAATGATGATTCCTGCCATTTTCGGGAGGTTTTAGTAAAGAGGCAGAAAGAAGCAAAAGGACATCGAAAGCCCGCTAGCTCTGACATGGACGCCATGGTTGCTGGAAGTGGGGGACATCTCTTCTTCCTTTGTCTCTCTAATAGTTCAAAACATGGGCTCTGGAGACAAGCACCTGGTTGCTGGAGGCCAGACCTGGTTGGGGCGCTCGTTGCCCTGCATACCAGCTCTGGGCTCTTAGGCAACTTACTTCATGGCCTCAGCTCCTCATTTGTAAGATCGGGGTGACCGTCATACATCATAGGGTGTGGTCATAGGATGAAATGAGAGCCAGTGTTTTTAAATATTTAATAAGAAGATAGTGCCTGAAAAAATAAGCACAATATAGTAATTAGCTGCTTTTATTATTTTTCATTATTTTAATTATTGCTATTACTCTTATTATTATTAGCCTAAGAGAGAGCCTCAGGTGTAGAACTCATGCATGTAAAATCTTGGTCTAGAGCAGCAATTTTCACCCAGTGTGCTGCGAAGCTTTCGAAAACCTGCAGTACCTAACTATTTCGTCAGGGGCACTGACCTCTTCTCCCTTAGATTGTCAAATTACAAAATGACAACAGCCAACACAACAATAGCTGTCCGGTGTGAATGAATCAAAATTATACCTATTTTTTGGTCAGATTGGCAAAACATAAATTTCTTCATGTGCTGCACAATTTTAATAATTAGTTTATGTGTGCCATGAGATGAAAAAAGGTTGAAAATCACTGGTCTAGAGGCATGAGCTTACCTTTCATAGAGGAGATTGCAAAACTCTTTAGAACTATTTAGAATTATCATTGATCATGTTAGAAAAGCAGCTAAAAGCATTTTGTTTTTATATACCTCAATATTAGGCATAGAACAATACAGAAATAATAGGAAACTTGATTTAGCAGACACAGGATTTTCAGAAGAAGTCAGTTATTCAGATTACACACTTGATTTGGGTGTATTATAAAGCATACTGTTATCTCTTATTTCATCCTTTGGATTATTTCTGACCATTTTTGAAATACTTTTTATGTCCCAATAGGTAAACCCATCTAATCACAGACTCCTGTTTGAAGTATTTGATGAAAACAGATTGGTAAGTGGGTCCCAGTTTTTATTTTTGCTTCATTTTTTAAAAACTTAATTTTTAAAGCAGCATCTTTGAGAACTCTGTTTATGTTGTACTCCTGACAGTATATCTGCTTCCCCCACCCAAGACTTTATTTTTGTTCCATCACTAGCTCCTGATTCTGACAAATATTCTTGTCTGGCTAGGACAGAAATTTTATTTGTGTATGTGCATGTTTGTTTGTTTGTTTTTTAAACCTGGTTAATACAAGTGAAAGCCACACTGACGATACATCAAACGATATGCCTAGGTCCTTCTGTTGGGAATGCAGGAGGGTAGGCAGGCAGGTCTGCAAAGAGGCCGCCACTCAGGCAGACCAGCCTTCCAGGGATTTTAAAGATGAGCCAGACGACAGCTCTGTCACCTTCTGGGCGCAAATCTATGGGGCGTCCCTTTGGGAACACAAAAATTTAATTAACAAAAGTGACTCTATATTTAGCAGGTAAAATTAAGCTGTATTTTAAAAGCGGTACTTTCTCAAGGGAAATTAATAGAAAGTACCTTGAAAGAACCAAAGGTATGCCTGAGGCTTAAGGCTGATATAAACTAATATTTTACCTAGAGATTGATAGATAGGTAAGATATGGATATATAGCTGTGTATATATTCTATTTATAGATACAGATGTGATAAAACTAAGATTTTGTTTGGGAAATGGAAGTTCAGAAGCAAATCCAGCTTGAAGCATTTTGCCAATTGCCTAACCAGAATGTAAACACCAAGAACCCATGAGTCAAGTGTTTCAGCTATGAAAATGAACTTTACAGGCCAGCTTTAAGGTACTCTTAGAAGTGGTATTATAACTCGGTGTAATCAGTTGTCACTCACATTTACTTTCCCTGACACTTAGGTGCATTATTAGGTTAAAATGAATGTTCTTATGAACCCTTCTTGCTGCAGAATTCAACTGAAACTCCCAGTTGTTAAATAGCTTGAGGCTGGTAGAGTATCTCACCCAGAGGAGGCTTCAAGTGCGGCTCACTACCGCTCCCTGTCCTTGCTGCAGGGAGAGGTAGGGTCCGGAGCCCTCGGCCAGTGGCGGTGTCCCCGTGGGAACTGAGCCCCCTAGTCTCAGGCCTGCCGAGGTGAATAGCCAGGCTTTTCACCTTGCTTATAGAATTGGGGAGTGTGTTTCATTTCCTCTGCTTGGTATTCTCCAAATTAGAAAGCCAACAGATTCTGGCCTACCGCCCTGATAGCATTTCTATTACAAATATGTTTGGGGTCTTGGCGGCTTCATGTCAAACTCAACCTTTTTTTTTCTTTTTTTACCTTGGGTGATACTTAGTTGTACCGCATACCTAAATCAGTTTTGCTCTGTGTGTGAAGTTATTTTCTTGTTCAGTTGAGTGGGAGAGTCTGCTGAGGGTGCACTTCTTAGCACCCCCAACCCCAGCCCGCACAGACTGTGAATTAGTGTTCGGGGATGTGGCATTAAGTCCCGGGAGTCACAGGCACAGTTGCGGACTAACCCTTATTCTCTCATTTATTGGGTATAATGACACTTCTTTAAGGCGAAGCCAGGGCCAAGTGTGAGGGAAAATTGCTTCTTGTCAGATGTGTTTTAATTCATTACTTAATTTTCTTCTATTAGGAGAAATTCACTGTAAAAACATTTGCTTCCCAGTCCCATTTTCTAACCCAATGGCGGTTGCTGAGACGCCTCTGCCGTGGGTCCTGAGCTGCCGCCGCGCTTCCAGGCCCAAAAGGGCTTTGAAGGGCAGGGCTCTAAGAACTCTTGTGTGAACACAGGCTTCATCTGAAAATCTGGTTTGTGGCAGAAATACCTGGTGCTGCCCCGGGCCATCTGCAGTGTCCTGCCTAAGCAATGCTGCTCCCAGAGGTTTTCTCTTTGGCCAATAACCCGTTGAAGACAATGTATGACCGGAGGGTGCTTGGCAGTGTTAGCATTAAACAGACCAGCTTCCATTTCTCTCCCAGAGATCATTTTTGGCATTTAAAACACAGGCCTTTAGAAAATAGGTTTGTATGTATGTAAGCACAGGGTTGATTCCTCCACGCCCTTGGCCCTGCAACTGTTGACAAGGTCATGCTTCGCGGATTTTAAAATAAACTTTTTGTCCCTCTTTGCAGCTTGGTATTTTCCCCTCCTACTTTTCACTCCCTCCTAAGTAAACCTCTGTGTTAAAGAACCCATGTTTCTGGGTCACAGAAGGGTGTCAGTTTAAAACACACAGAATACATCCAAGTTCACTACAAATCTGATGACAGTTTTTTGAATGAGGACCTTTACTCCCCCCCCCCCCCCCTTAGCTCCTCTTGGCTCTTTGCAAAACTAGCAAGATTCCTTGTTTGCATCCCAGCAGTGTTAATATTGCTGACTTCTCATTGGAAAACAGACAGCCCTGGGCAGCCTTTTCCCCGCACGGTATTTAAATTTATGTACAACAAAAAGCACATGGACGCCCTTCGTCAATTCTCCCCTCTTTTATGTGGGGAGGGGCGGCGTATTGTTTTTTTCTTCTTACTTGACATATGGGAGAAAACGTTTTCTCCAGCTGGGCTCCTTTTCTCTGGTACTTCCCTCGATGGCAGTCGCTGCGTCTGCGATCAGCACAGCCAGACCCACGCCTTTTAAATGAAAAGTGTTGTAGCAGCAGGAGACAGACCACTCCCTGCCAGTGTTATAAGTCATACTCCTTCCCCTCAGCTATTTTGTGACCTGTAGATCATGGTCGAATTATTTAGCATTAAAGGGACACTAATTCTGTGGGGCGTGTGGCCGTATTTATAGTACGTTTTATTCGTTGGCATTCCATCTGGGTAGTGTGGCAATATCATAAATAACAGGAACACAGCCTCTGAGGCTTGTGAAAGCGTTTTCCTAGAGCCAAGGCGTTTTTGCCCGTCGTCATTCAGCCCCGCAGGGAGGTGGGGAAATACCGTGTGTGCTCCGTGTGTTCAGTGCCAGGTCTCGCGTTGGTTAGAGGGAGTCCGAGCACCCCACTCCGTGGAAAGAACTGTCTTGTGAGCGCGATGTGGATAGATTTATGGCAGCGTGGCTCCGAGTGTGTCTGCTGCCTTAGTCAGCTGCAAGAGCTCCCTGCTGGGGCCACTCCTGTCTGACGGAAAAAAGCAGCAGCTGGGAAGGTGCTGTTTCAGGCTCTTGTGCTGTTTAAAAAAAAAAAGAAAGAAAGAAATGAGAGCGAGAGGGGGGAAAACTCCACTAAGTCCACAAGCTGGCATTGGAGGGGGAGACAGCGGTCATGTGGTTCTGGCCACCCTACCCTCTGTCACAGTGCGGATGAGAGCTTTTTGCTCTTATCCAATCATGCCTGGAATGCCGCTTGCCACTTGGGTTATTTCTGCTATCTGTCGCTGTTGGTGCCGCAGAGCTAAAGGTTTGGCAGATGGGACGCTTTTTCTTGGAGTCTGTGTCTCCGGTTTTTGACTTCTGGCAGTGCCGAGCGCGTTGTCGCCGCTCGCCCTCTCCCTCCCTGCCCCCCTGGGCACCATGGCCCATCGGCTTCGGTTTCATTTTGGCTCCGGTCGCAGCAACACGGCCCCCGAGTCAGAGATCCTCGACCAGGAGAGAGAAGACGACTTTTTCATGGCATTCCACACCCTGCCGCGGCGGGGCGGCGCTCACCTCTTCGCCCACCGGGCGGCGGAGGACGGCGGCGGCCTGCCGGAGGCGGTGGGCGCGCTGAAGCGCAGCACGTCCATGTTCATCCCGCAGCTCCTGAGCCCCGTGGACGCGCGGCCCACCCGGAGCTCATCGGTGCAGATCTCGCTGCAGCGCAAAGCGGCGGACGGCGCCCCGGACACGTGTGGGCCGCCCGAGGGCCTGGACGGTGACGCGGGGTCAGTGTGTCCAGGCCGCTGCCCGGAGCCCCCCGAGCCCCAGACCCCCAAGAGCTCCCCTCCCAGGGCCACTAGGAGTGCAGGCCCCCAAGTCAACGGCACGTGTGGCCGCCGGGCGCGGGGCCCCGTCGCTGCCGATGGCCGCGTGGAGGCTGAGCCTGCGGCCACCCAGGGACCCAAAGGTGGCGGACTCCGGATCCAGCACCGAGCCTCCAGCGCTGACGTGCGCCAGGTGAGGCTGATGCCCTTTGGGGCGGACGGCCAGGGTAGCCCTTCGGCTCCGGAACCCAGGCGCTGGTCCCTGCAGCACGTTCCGGATGCTTCTGGAAGTTCTGGGAAGAGGTGCTTTGTCTTCCAGCTGCAGCAGCCGCCACCAGGTGTGGGTGGTGACTTCAACTTTGGGTTCACGGGCACGAAGGGGGACAGGCTGGTGCGGTACCCCCGTATCCGGCTGGAAAGGAGCACCTCCTACCCCACGCAGCCCCGAGCAGAGCTCAGCAGCCCCACGGAAGAGCGGGGCCACCAGGGACACCCGGAGACACCGCCTGGGGGCCGCAGGGTGACCCCCGAAATCCACCGGAGGAACTCCGTGGAAAGGACGTCACAGAGTCAGGGCTGCACGTTTAAGATCAGGCAAGATCAAAATGCGGGGCAACAGCACTTCAGAATTCTTGTGACTCGGGGACCGGAGGAGTCTCACCAGAATCCCGAGGCGAGTAACGCCACCGGCCCGGGTTGCACCGTGGCAGGAGCCCCGGTAAGTGAGCTTGTGTTTCCGTGCTAGGGCCGGTGGGAAAAAGGACTGATTCAGCCTCAGAACGCTTATTGTGCAGCGTAATTAAAATAAACATCCTCCTACTCCCTCCGGCAGTTTCCCAGCTGCGGGCCAGTGTAACTTAAGTTTTGGCCAAGTTGTGGGAGCATGATTTGTGCTCCGGAGTTCAGTAGAGGCCCAGAAACCAGTTAGCCTTTCAGAAAATATCTGTGCTTTTAGGGCCTCAAAGTCAAACAGCTCTGCCTGTTTTGAAAATCCAAACATCCCCCTCACCCCCCTCTTCTGAATAAAAGCATTTAAAAATTTTATTACTGCAAATTAACCTGCCAGTGCCCCAGCACATCGATGTTGGAAATGTATTTAAAAGCTGCCTGCAAACAGAGCCCGCGAATACACTTCCTTTTAACAGTAGTTCTAATAGAAGTGAGAGAGTATCGCCAAAAACTCGAGACTAGTCTGTTAATCAAGTGTGTGCAAAATGTGACCAATTCTTCCTAATGGCCTTTTTGCTGTAGAGAGTCGGCCCGTGTTATCGTTTATCTTCTTTTTCTTTCTTCTTCTTCTTCTTCTTTTTTTTTTTTTTTTTGGTCCCATTAATACTGAACAAGAGGGGGACAGTGAGCAACGTGTTTCTGAAGCCAATTGGCTGATGGGCTGAGGTGAAACTGACTGGAGACTGGCTGATGGTCAGATTGCAAGGCCTGCGACTTTGCCCACTTGAGTGTCTAAGCCGAGATGCTGTGTAGAGAGTTGGAAGCGCCGTGTCGCCAGCTGTGGAGACAGATGCCCGAGCACGGATTTTGGCCCTTATTGCCCCGTGCTCTTGCTCGCTCCCTTGCCGTGAAATGGAGCACAGAGAGACAGCTGCGAACCCCGCCAGGCGGGCGATGACTCCGCAGCTCCCGTGGCTTAGAGCGGGGTGAGAAGTTTCATCAACGAGCTCTCTTTTACTAGTACTCACTAGCCATCGTGTGTTCTCATTACAGAGCGAACTCCTATTTTGACCTGGAATTTTCCCCCAGAATTGCATGTGATTTCCAGTTGGAGGATGTGACTGTGAAACGTCCGGGGGCCTTTGTGTGGGTTTTCATTGTGAATTGTGACTTTTCAAAGTGGGTGGCTGAGCATTGCTGTAGAATTCTATCATCTTTTAATTTACCACTTTATGTTGAGAAATAGTGTTGGCCATTCAAGTCACCTTTATCATTGCTCTATCATTGGCTTTCACCGCTGTGAGGGGGTTATGAGACTACATGCAAATATTATATTTTTCTTGGTGTTACATAACTATTTCTTCTTATTCTTTCCTTAGTACTTACTGTTTATTGTCTCTAACCCCTTTATTAGGAAATGTCAAAGTGCTTTTTCTTTGTCCAGACTGATAACTGTTTTTATACAGTGGTTCAGATTTTGATAGAATTTGGGTGTTGTAACAGCTTTGACCCTTCCCCCTGAGAAAGGAGCATCAGCACAGTCATGGGCCGCACAACTCCATGTGAACACGGGCCCCTTAACATGGAAAATTGGCAGACAGGACGCCTTTCCTCCAGTTTTGGTGACTATTCAGTTTTATTACCAAAATCTCAAATTATCTTTGCAGTTAGATATCAAAGACAAATGGATGTATACAATGAACTAAAGTCTCATGTGGATTGAAGTTTCTAATGTAATCTGAAAATAAGTAGAATGTTCTAAAACTTTCGCATGCCTTGCATAAACGGGTTATTTAAACTTGCTTGCAAGGATGGTTATAGTGGGAAAAACAAATCTCTTCAAATTCTAGAATAAAGAGCTCTTTCCGGAGCCTAAATTCTTTAAGCACACGGGAGTTTTCATTTTCATAGGTGTATTTTTGCACACATACATAAATTTGTCAGTGGTTGGTAAGAAGCTGGTTTTCTCTTAAGCAAAAACTGTTTCCTTTAAGGAGCAAAATGAAAACTTGTCGTGCGGTAAAACTGTCCGCTCCATTCAACACTCCATGCGTGTTTTGTGCAGGCAGCGGTGTTAAGTGCCGGCGGCAGCTGCCCCGGCCTTATTTATCTTGAGGGAAAACATTCACTTGGGCGTCTGCAGTCTGGCTGCCACCACGCTTTTTTGATGTTTCAAATATCTTCTGCTTTGGTTAGAAGCGCATATCATTATTAGCGTACATGACAAATGAACTGAAATCTATTGCAGTCTGGTTTATGAGTGATGTCAGAAATCTTGTTTGGGCAAATCACGCAGGATTCCTTTGACGAAAGGGCTCATATTTTATAACCTATGCCTTAGACCTTGTTACAAGGTGAATTTGTTGAGTACTTTTCTCAGCCTCTGCCTCCCAAACATCCTGTCATGAATAAATCTAAAATGCAACATGACTCCAAAAAATGTTAACCAGCTAGATTCCTAGAAAAAATACATGGGAACAAACCCCTTGTGCTGACAGATTCCCCCCGCCCCCCCCCCCCGTCTGAAACCCTGAGGAAGGTAGAATTGGTTCTTACAGTCATCAGTTGTAATATTTAGAAGTTCTGCGAACGTCACAGTTCAATTTGTGGCATTTTTAATAGTCAGTGATTTTCTTAAAGTAGTGTTTGAGTCATTTGGTCTGGTTTTGAGCTTCTTAACTGCACTGGCGTTATTCCAGGGGAGCTGAATCACTGTTTACCAGCATTCAAGCCCCCTTTCAGCACGGTTTCCCACATAATAACTGTGAGGCTCTGCATTTTATGAGCTTCAGGAGCCACTTTTAATCCCATTAATGTTATTAAGTGTTTAAGGCCCACTGTGTATATAACATTACACTAGGGACGTGGAGAGCTTCACAAACTTATCTCAGTTTCTTGCTGACGCAGAGTGTTTGAGGGAAACAGAGGGAGCAAGGTCCCCGTGAGGGGGCGGGGCGGCAGAGACCCCCGTTCTGACACCCACCGTGCGTGCTGACAGCGGAGGGCGTGTCCCTTCCTTCCTTGCTCTGACTTTTCCCTGGGCCCCCTCAGTGGACATACACTTCACAGAAGCAGTGCAGCATCTTGTGATTTAAAAATTCATTTTCCTGAACACACAGGACTATCCAAACTGGGTTGTTTTTTTTGTTTTTCTTTTTTAAATTTGGGAGGAATTTTAGTTTGACTCTTTAAAAAAAAAATGTGATTTTACTCTACAGAAAAATTTTGACACTACTGGGTGTCTCTTTTTTATCCTAAAAAGTAATTCTGTGAATATATGTCTAAACCACCCTTTATTGAAAAACGCAAGAACAGTATAACGATTAAGGGAAAAGGCTAGTATTCTTTTTATTGACTCAGTTTCTGATTGGATTCTGTAAAGCTTTCCCCCCTTGAGTACAGTAGAAATTCCTCTTACTGTGGTCATATGTGAGCATGTTCCAATATTATGTAACAAAGTTTCAACTGTTTTCAGGGACGTCTTGAAAAGCGTGGGCAGGGCACAGGGTGGACACTGGAATGTGTTTTCACACACAGACCCAAGACTTGCAGTGAGAGCTTATGTTTCTGTAGCACTTGAGCATTTGAAAAGTGCCTTCGTTTATTCCACGTGCCTATGTATCTATCCGATTGGAGAAGCACCCTCTCAGCCTTCCCAGCAGCCTGTGAAATGGAGCTCCTTTACTCTTTCAGTTGGTTGTGATAACTAGTACGTTGCCATATCACTTTGTGTATGTATCATGGGAATTTTAAGACTATGTATATCTTTGCACAATTAAAAAGCCTGTGTAGCTACAAAAACAAACAAACAAAACAAACTTTAATGCTTCCTGTGATGTGACATTCCTGCTGAAAATTTTGAGGACAGTGGCTCCACCTGGTGCTTGGCCACGCTGGCCTGTGGACAGGTGGAGGCACCTGCGGAGGCCCCAGAACCCAGCTCGGCAGTGACTGACGCTTCCTGGGTAGTTAGAGGCCCTCTCTGCGTGTACTCCCTCAGCAGTGAGAAATGAGGGTGGAAATGGCAGCTCACAGGTTTATGGTGAGGTTTACAAGAGGCAGTGTATGCAGACGGACCTGATTGGTGTTCGTGCTAGTTTTTTCCATCTTAACCAGGTATCTGTAATAGACAAGTCTTTCTCCAAGGAAGATAGTGAGATCAACAGTGAACAAGCCATTTTTGATCAGCATGGCATTAGACACAGGGCAACAAGAATTGAGGGCATACCTGGCAATGTTGGCTTTAATAACTAGCTGTGATGTCCTTCTGCTGTCGTCTCATTGGTCCTGAGTGTGTCCCTTGAACAGTTGGCACCATGGAGCTCTAACCCTGTTCTGTGATGGCGCAGCCCCTAAAAGGACTCGAATTCACTTGTGACCTATGCATTGTAGAAAAGGACCTTTACTCGTATTTGTGGTATTGAGTTTTGAAACATTGAAACATTTAGCTGGTATTTTCTGCATGTTATAATTTTTATTAAGAATTTATTTATTTATTCTTAGATAGAGGAAAAGGGAGGGGGAAAGAGGGAAACACCAATATGTGGTTGTCTCTTGCACGCCCCCTACTGGGGACATGGCCCACAACCCAGGCTTGTGCTCTGACCGGGAATTAAACTGGTGACCCTTTGGTTCGCAGGCCAGCGCTCAGTCTGCTGAGCCACACCAGCCAGGGCTGCATGTTATAATTTTACCACTTCATTTTGCTGTAGTATATCCAGTGATTAAGTTTACTTTTACTTCTTATAGGCAGAGGTGTCAGCAATCTTACATTACCTCTACAAAATGTCCACACTGTGTGATTTACAGGTGAGGAAAGGGTTTGGGAAGAGGCCTTCCTTGATAACGCCTTTTAGAGGATTTTCATAAATGTCGCAGCCGCCTCACTTGGCTAAGCCTGGAGGCAGAATTCCTAGGCATTGAAATAAATCTATAATTTTATAACACATGTTCATAAGAAAAGTGTTATCTCTACATCAGAGTTCACAATACCAGAAGAAATTTACTCCCTGTCAGAATTACCTTGAAATTTGATAAATGCTGAGTTCC